CTCACACAGGGGCCAGCCAGTTCCTCTGGAGGGCCAGCAACAGGGCAGAGAGGCCAAGGCCTTCCCCTGAAAAGGACACCAGAAGAGCCCTGCTGGGTCAGACCAGGGAGGGTCCCTCCAGTCCAGCCTCCCGTCTCACACAGGGGCCAGCCAGTTCCTCTGGAGGGCCAGCAACAGGGCAGAGAGGCCGAGGCCTTCCCCTGATAAGAACACCAGAAGAGCTCTGCTGGGCCAGACCAGGGAGGGTCCACCTAGTCCAGCCTCCCGTCTCACACAGGGGCCAGCCAGTCCCTCTGGAGGGCCAGCAACAGGGCAGAGAGGCCGAGGCCTTCCCTTGATAAGAACACCATAAGAGCCCTGCTGGATCAGACCAGTGAAAGTCCACCTAGTCCAGCATCCAGACCCACACAGTGGTCAGCGAGCTCCTCTGGAGGGCCAGCAGCAGGGCAGAGAGGCCGAGTCCTTCCCCTGTTGTAGCCTCCTGGCTCTGTGATTCAGAGGATTAGTGCCTCTGAATCTGGAGGTTCCCTTTAGTCACTGCGGCTAGTGGCCATTGATCGACTTCTCCTCCATGAATCTATCTCATCCCCTTTGAAAGCCGTTTAATCCTGTGGCCATCACTACACCCTCTGGCAGCCAATTCCACATTTTAATCATTCTCTGTGTGAAGCAGTATTTCCTTTCTCTGTCCTGAACCTACTGCCCGTCCGTTTTAACTGGATGCCCTCGAGGTCTAATCGTTTGGGAGAGAGAGAGAGAGAAAAAGTTCCCTATGTTCGCTCTCTCCACTTCATGCATCGTTTTATAAACTTCCCTCATGTCCCCCCTCAGTTGTCTCTTTTCTCAACTGAAAAGTCCCAGAATCTTCGGCCTTTCCTCCTAGGGAAGGGGCTCAAACCCCCCCATCACCTCGGTCGCCCTCCCTGCGCCCTGACGTGTCTTGCCCCTCACACTGCAGCCGTGGCCTCGGTGGAGGTATCAGCCCCTGGGGCCACTGCCCCCCCAGCACCTCCCCCCCTGGCCTCCAGAGCCAATCTCCCCGATGGCTAGCCTCCCAGTCTCCGCCACAGCTGTGCCCCCGACAAAGTCTGCCGCCCACCCCCGGCCACAGCAGCAGGACCCCGGAGCTGGTCACTTTCTTGGTCTCCACCATCGTCTTGAGATCCGCCAAGAGGCTCATGTGTTTGGACATGTCGGTCGCCAGGACCTGCGGAGGAGGCGGGCCGTGAGTGTCGATGCCAGGGTGCGTGTATGTGTCTGCGTGCACACCTCATTCCTCATTCCCCTCAACTGCCATTTTAAATTTTGGCTGTATGCAGGGGTCATTTCGTAGAAAAAGAGGTGCAGGAGCTCATTAGCATAATTCATTAGCATAACTCATTTGCATATGTCACGCCCCTGACATCACCGGAAGTGTGTCAGAAGGCAACACCCACCGCTCAGGCTCCACTGGACTGTTTTTGATGTCTAGCTATTGGGGGAGGGGGGGACATGCAGATCTGTCCTCGCAGAGGAGGGAGAGCTTATACCTGAATAAAACTTGGTCTTAAAGGTGCCACTGGACTGTTTTGGGCTGGGGGGCCGGGGTCTGCAACTTACCTGGCTGCTTCTTGCTCTGACTGAGGGCTACTGGGAGCAGGGGGTGGGGCTTGTTGCATGTGCCCACCCCCTGGGTTCTTTACTGCCGGAGCGCCGCTCCTGCAGGAAATGACCTCTGGCTGTGTGCATCCTCCCCCCCACCCAGTGTCCTCTATTTTATGTATTTCATTTCCGTCATGAGCTGCTTTGAGGCAGCGGATAAAAGATCCAAATCGAGAAACAGATTAAATAAAAGGAGATAAAAGGACCATGCGTGATTCAAACCGTCCTAAACCGTGATTTTTAATTTGTGTATTTTTTAATGAACTTTTATGTATTTTATGCTGCCGAAGGCTTTCATGGCCGGAGTTCATTAGTGGTTGTAGATTTTCCAGGCTGTACGGCCGTGGTCTTGGTCTTGTGGTACCTGACGTTTCGCCAGCAGCTGTGACTGGCACCCTCAGAGGTATAACACAGAAAGATGGAGTACTCTCTTTGACACAGAGAGTACTCCATCTTCCTGTGTTATACCTCTGAGGATGCAGGTCACAGCTGCTGGTGAAATGTCAGGTACCACAAGACCAAGACCACGGCCATACAGAAGAAGAAAGAAGAAGAGATTGGATTGATATCCCACCCTTCACTGCCTGAAGGAGTCTCAGAGAAGCTTACAAACACCTTTCCCTTCCCCTCCCCACAGCAGAGGTAGGTGGGGCCGAGAGAGCTTTGACAGAAACTGCTCTTTTTCAGGAACAGCCCTGACAGAACTAGGGCTTGTCCAAGGTCATCCAGCAGGTGCATGTGTAGGAGTGGGGAATCAAACCCGGTTCTCCCAGATTAGAGTCCGTGCACTTCACCACGACACCAAACAGCCCGGAAAATCTACAACAACTATTTTATTTCTATCGTGCGCCACCTCAAGGTCCAATTAAGGAAGCAAGGCAACTAATAAAAGTTTTAAAGAAAATAAGTAAATAGAAAAAAATTAAACCTGACATCGCTCACTGCACAGCCACAGGAGCAAGGATTATAAATAATAATGCAGCACCCTACACAAAATGTTTACTGCGTACTAATTATTAGAATTTACTATTGTATAGCATATGCGATTCCAACAATATAAATGTTACTCAAAAGGTAAAGGTTTCCACAACAAAAATTCACTAAACAAAATATAGAAGTTCTCTCAATATTTCTATCAGCAGCAAAGTCACTGATAGCGAAAAAATGGAACCAAGAAGAAATACCAACAAAGCAGGAATGGTATTCTAAAATGTGGGACTTAATAGTAGCAGACAAAATAGCAACACAACTACTGGTAGCACAGGCTCAACTAAAAAACAACAACTTTGTGGAAAAATGGTTTGTATTTTTTGATTATATTTCTAACTATGCCACGGGGATACCACAAATGCCAGAAAAGTATAAAAGCATTGCTCTTTATTGAATTTATAGTGTCATAAATATTCTTTTTAATTTACTATCGTATAGCATATGCGATTCCAATAATATAAATGTTACTCAAAAGGTAAAGTTTTCCAATTATTCAAAGATATAAAGTTTCAGAAAGAAGGAAGACTGAATGGTTAACACCTATTCCAGAGTTTGTAAAAGCAGCCCAAAGTTGTTTTTTTAACAGTTGCTCTCAATATTTAGCCGTGGACAGTGTAATCCAACTACATTACAGGGGTGTCGAATTCATTTGTTACAAGGGCCGGATGTGACATAAAGGAGACCTTGTCAGGCCGGGCCGGGTCATGCATGTCATAAACTGTAATGCCAGGTAGTGGAGATATAAACTTTATAAAGGACACAAACACAAAGTTTTTTTTTTAACTCAAAATAAAAACATGTTTAAAACAATAGCACACGGCAATATTTTATTTAATAGTATGTGATAACGGACACCTCTTGTTCTGAATTACTGCATCGAAATGTCTGTGCTGTTGCGACCTTGAGTATGCTGCTCAATTGTGTATCTGTAAGCTGCAAACCTACTTTTGATTTATTGACATCCACCACAGACATCTCATGCTCAGAGTTCTGAGTCCAAGACCCAGGTTAGAACATGAAACGGCTGAGTGATTAAGAGAGTCGGGCGAAGCGAGCGATGATGCAGCAGCAGCAGCAGAACTGGAAGCAGGAGATGGCCGGTTCCACTGCGGGCCTGATGGAAGCCCTCTGGGGGCCTAACCTGCCCCCCGGGCCACATGTTTGACACCCCAGGAGTTGCAACATTTCAATAGACAATTTCAAGAGAAAGTCACAGGAGCAATGGTGGCAGAGGGAGAAACGGCAAACGGAAGCACTTTATGTTCTGAGAAAGGCCGTTCGGACTTGCCACAGGGGGGCGATGCCTTCCTCGGGACGTAGCCGTTGTGGGGCGCCCTGAATCCCGCGGCTACGCCCCCTCCAGAATCAAACCCGGGAACGGAGCCGCCACCCCCCTGGAGGAGACGCCCCCCGGCAGCCGGGGCGAGGCGCCTGGGCCTACCATGTCGATGACCATCTTGCGCAGGGTCTGCCGCTGCCGCTTGGGGAGGTTCTGGAAGATGTCGCAGTTCTCCTCCTGAAGCAGCTTGAAGCCCACGGCTAGGTGGTGGTTCTCCAGCACGGACTCGTCGTTGTACATCAGCGCCAGCTCCGAATCTGCCGGGGGGGGGGGCCCCCAAAAGGGTCACTCCAGGGGGCGCAGAGGAAAGGAAACACAGAGGTGGCCCTGGAGTGCCCCCAACACACACACGCTGCTTCCGTGCTGCTGGCAACCCCCCCCCCTTTGTGGCCTGCTGCCACGTGTGCTTCCTGAACCCCACAGAAGAAGAAGAAGAATCAGAGGAGATTGGATTCATACCCCGCACTTCACTCGGGAGTCTCAGAGCGGCTCTCAGTCTCCTTCCCCTTCCCCTCCCCACAACAGGCACCCTGGGAGGTCGGCGGGGCTGAGGGAGCTCTCTTGAGGACTGCCCTTGAGAGAACAGCTCTGAGAGAACTGTGGCTTGCCCAAGGTCACCCAGCTGGCTGCATGTGGAGGAGGCGTGGGGAATTGAACCCGGTTCTCCCGGATCAGGGTCCGCCGCTCTTAACCACCACACCAAACTGGCTCCCGCAGGGATGCGAGTAACTACAGAAAGGGGCAAAGAGCCCCCAGGGTGCTATCCTGGCCCCAAAGATCCTGAAGACTGGGAAGAGGTTGCTTGTTCTACAGCAGAGACGCTTCCTGAGTTCTGGAAGTCTTCCGAAGATTTGACCGAAAGGCTCCTCCCTTATAGTTTTACAACGATTTCTTATCCTATGCTTCTTAGACTTGGAGAGCTTCCTTCCTTCCTCTCTCTCCTCCTTCCTTCCTTCCTCCCTCTCCTCCTTCCTTCCTTCCTCCCTCTCTCTTTCTCCTCCTTCCTTCCTTCCTTCCTTCCTTCCTTCCTTACTTTCTTCTTCCACCCACCCCCCCAACCTGTCTAGGGGCTTGTTGTTCCTCTCTTTCTCTCTCTCTTTCTCCTCCTTCCTTCCTTCCTCTCTCTCTTTCTCCTCCTTCCTTCCTCTCTCTCTCTTTTTCCTTTCTTTCTCCTCCTTCCTTCCTCTCTCTTTCTCCTCCTTCCTTCCTTCCTCTCTTTTTCTCCTCCTTCCTTCCTCACTTTCTCTTTCTCCTCCTTCCTTCCTCTCTTTCTCTTTTCTCTTTCTCTTCCTTCCTTCCTTCCTCTCTCTTTCTCTTCCTTCCTTCCTCTCTTTCTCTCTCTCTCTCTCTCCTCCTTCCTCCCTCCCTCGCACCCTTCTCAATATTATAAACTGTTGTCTCCCCCTGCAGTGGCTTTAATATTCTTTCCCCCTACAATAAGCATGCTTTTTCGCTTTATCTCTTCTGCGATGGAGGTACGCTCCACTTGACTGTTGCGAAACCCTGTACACGGTCATAAGTTACCCTGCATTGGGGTGGGGGGATGTTTTCATAATGGCAGTCATACAGGCACACACACCCCCCGCCTCGAGGTGATCTACAATTCTGGAGGGCCTTTAAAACTTCGGGGAGCAAATGGCATGCCACAGAATGGCGCGTGGGCCCATGCGGGTTTGCCACAGACAGGATGTCTCTTCCGGGGCTCCCTCCCTCCCCACAGACACCCCCCCCCGCTTGGCAACCCCACAAGGAAACCTCGACGCGTCACACAAACATGCCCCCCTCCCACGGCAAGACCCCTTTCTCCCTCCCCCTCGGCCCGCGGAGTCGACAGCACTCACTGGTGTTGATCAAGAACTGGTTGGAGACCCCCGGGTGGTCCACGTCGTGAATGGCGGCTGCAAACAAGGCGGCCAGGATCTCCAGGTCGGTGAAGACGGCCTGGAAGGGACGGGAAGGGGAGAGGAGAGGAGGTTGCCGTGCGGCCCAGGCTCACTTCACGGGGCAGCCGGCCAGCAAAGGCGGGTTCACCTTCCTGGAGCGACCCAATCCCAAGGGTCCTGTGACAGGAATTCGGCAGCTGCCCGCCCAAGAGACTCTGAGAGGATGCCTGGGATGGAGCAGGCCGAGAAAGAAGTCCCTTCCTCCCTTTCTCACGAGACAAGCTTCTCTTATGTTCTTATGACCTTCATGGACCAACGGTTTGATTCGGTGTAAGACAGCTTCGTGTGCACATGTGTGTTCACCTCTTGGGGAGGGACTGTGGTTCAGCGGCAGAGCCTCTGCTTGGCATGCAGAAGGTCCCAGGTTCAATCCCCGGCATCTCCAGCTAAAAGATTCAGGAGGCAGGGGGTGTGAAAGACCCATCTCTGCCTGTGACCCTGGAGAGCAGCTGCCAGTCTGAGTAGACAATACTGACCTTCACGGACCAAGGGTTTGATTCCGTGTAAGGCAGTTTAGAAGATTATGCATGGGATAGAGCAGGCAGAGAAAGAAGTCCTTTTCTCCATTTCTCACAAGACAAGAACTCATGGGCACTCCATGAATTTAATGAGCAGTAAGGATAGAACGGATAAAATAAGTCCATCTTCACCCAAAGAGTCATTAACACATGGAATTCACTGCCACAGGAGGGGGTGGCGGCTACAAGCATGTACGGCTTCAAGAAGGAATTGGGTAAACATCTGGAGCAGAGGTCCCTCAGTGGCTATGAGCCACAAGGTGTAGATAGGAACTCTCAGTCTGGGGCACGGGATGCTCTGTATTCTTGGTGCTTGGGGTGGGGGCAACAGTGGGAGAGCTTCTAGTGTCCTGGCCCCACTGCTGGACCTCCTGATGGCACCTGGTATTTTTGGCCACTGTGTGACACAGAGTGTTGGACTGGAGGGGCCACTGGCCTTATCCAACGTTGGCTTCTCTTATGTTCTTATAAGAGGGAATTGGATATGCATATGGAGCAGAGGTCCATCAGTGGCTATGAGCCACAAGGTATAGATAGGAACTCTCAGGCCTGGGGCAAGGGATGCTCTATATTCTTGGTGCGAGGGGGGGGGGGGCAACAGTGGGAGGGCTTCTAGTGTCCTGGCCCCACTGGTGGACTTCCTGAGGGCACCGGGTATTTGTGGCCACTGTGTGACAAGAGTGTTGGACTGGAGGGGCCATTGGCCTGATCCAACATTGGCTTCTCTTAAGTTCTTATATGTGCATTGCTGTTTGGAGGGCTATTAGTAGTGCTAAGGGTCTCTGCCTCCGGATTTACCTGGTGGAAAACCGTAAACCAGAAAAGCCACCTATTCTCTTGCCCTTTCTGGCTGTACTAGTCCTAGGGGAACTCCAAGGCTTGGTTTGAACCCTCACACAGCGCCTCGGGGTGGGTAGCCATTCAGTTTTAAATGAGAAGCCTAGTATGATGACCCCCTGTATCGCCCCAACCGTCTGGCAGATTTCCCCCGCCAAATCTTCAGTTCCCCTCAGTAACTGAGTTGCTCTACAGTAGCGTGTATATGTTCTTTGTCATAAAAGACTTGTCTGTCCCACCCTATGTTTAGATATTGAATACAGGAGCTGTCCAGTTTTCTTTGAACCCTTGAGAAATGGCACTTGAGGCCAATCAGCTTTCAAAAACGGAATACAGGTTTTATGAAACAGGCAGGGAGTATACGTATAGATGGAATAGTCAAGGTTTTGAGACTGCTGAGGTAAAAAACCTTCTAACATTTCCGGAGCTGAATTCATAGAACATTCAGGAGAGCGTAGTTGTAGTTTTGTTTCAAGGCTTTCTATTTCTTTCTTTCTTTGAGAGGCACTTTGTTTAGTATAATTCAGCACAATACAGTTCTTAATTGATGTTTAGAGAAGATAATTATTTATTTTTTCAAATAATTGATTCCCCACTCCTCCACTTGCAGCTGCTGGGTGACCTTGGGCAAGCCATAGTTCTCTCAGAGCTGTTCTTGTAAGAGCAGTTTGTGTCAGAGCTCTCTCAGCCCCACCTACCTCATAGCATGTCTGTTATGGGAAGGGAAAGGAGTTTGTAAGCCGCTCTGAGACTCAGAGCAAAGGACGGGGTATAAATCCAATCTTTTCTTCTTCTTCCTTTGTGTGGCTAGCACAGGCTGTTGCTAGTCACTCCAGGGGGCAGGGCTGTCTGCCCTTAAGCTGTTGGAGGCAGAGGATGGTGGTGGGCGGCTCTTTAGTTGAAAGCCTGGTGGAAGAGCTCCGTCTTGCAGGCCCTGTTGAATTGCATAAGGCCCCACAGGGCACTGATCTCTCTGGGAGCTTGTTCCACCAGAACGGAGCCGCCACCAAAAAAGCCCTCGCCCCAGTTAAGGCCAGCCTGGCATCCTTCGGACCCGGGGGGGCCAGTCGATTTTGGTATCCTGATCGCAGTGCCCTCTGGGGGTACATGTGGGGAAAGGCAGTCCCTCAGGTATTTGGGTCCCTGACCATAAAGGACTTTAAAGGTAAGAACCAGCACCTTGAAGCGAATTTGGTATGCTATCGGCAGCCAGTGCAATGCTTTTAGGACAGGCTGGATGTGCGCCCACATAGGGAAGCCCATCAAGAGCCTGGCCGCAACATTTTACGCAAACTGTAGGTTCCGGATTTGAGACAAGGGCAGCCCCATGTAGAGAGCATTGCAGTAGTCCCGCCTCGAGGTGACCATCGCGTGGATCACTGTTTCCAAGTCTTTGCATTCGAGGAAGGGAACCAACTGCCTAATCAGCCAGAGGGCATTCAGTGACGCTTTCTCACTTAGACTTCACCTTCAGCTACACCGTGTGGATCTTTGTGCTGTGGCGGCAGCCGCTGCCGGAGCAACGTGTTAAAAAATCCGGACAGCCAATCAAATCGTCAATAGCCAATCAGAAGCCTTGCTGGGCAAAAGTCCTGCTTGGCCTCGCCCGCTTCCCAGAAACATTTGGCGGGCTCCAGAAAAGGTGTCAGCAGGCGCTTTGGCCCCCTCGTGCACCCTGTTGGGGACCCTTGCTGCAAAGCAGACTGAACAAAAGACTCTGCGATCACGTAGCGCTTCTCTCCCCCGAGAGACCCAAGTCCGCAGTCCGTGCTTCTCTGAGTAGGCCGTCCAAGGGAACTGAGAGAGGGAAAGATCCAACAAGAGCCCTGCAGGTCTCCCTGTCGCCTGCCTACCCATCCGTCTGCTGCTAGAATCCGGCAGATGACGCTCCAGGGTTTTGGAACGGCAGCCACCCGTCTGCGCCCGTGCTTCTTCACATCGGCCGGCCGGCCGGGGGGGGGGGGAGGTGTGCAGCATGCAGCTCCCAGGATGCACTGGGATTCGCCGGGCTTCTAAGCTGTCTCGAAAAATGTCCGTCTCCCGTTGTTTTCCCTGCAGGTGATGCGAATGACGCTCAACACAATGACCTGGCGCCGCAGGGAGATGGTTCGCTGGCTGGTCACCTGTGCCACGGAGATCGGTGAGTGGGCGCCGGTGCCCGTCTGGGGCTGACTGCCACGGCAGAATCCTATTGTCCGCAGCCATGTGCAGGAGACGGGCGCATCCCGGGGGAGTGCCCTGGGTATCGTCTGTGTAAGCCCAGCTCACGTCTTGGGATTTCCAGGGTATAAGCTTTCAAAAGTCAGAGCTTCCAGTTTGGTATCGTGGTTAAGTGCGCAGACTCTAATCTGGGAGAACCGGGTTTGATTCCCCACTCCTTCTCCACTTGCTCCTGGCTGGATGACCTTGGGCAAGCTGCAGTTCTGATAAGGGTTGTCCTTGAAAAAGTGCCGTTTCTGTCCAGAGCTCTCTCAGCCCCACCTCCCTCACAGGGTGTCTGTTGTGGGGAGGGGAAGGCGTTTGTAAGCCGCTCTGAGACTCCTCTGGGTAGTGAAGGGCGGGGTATAAATCCAATC